CTATACTAATAAAAATCAATATCCAGTGTTCTGCATCTTTAAATTGTTGCTCAGACAGTTAATTCAATGAACTCTGTTCATTAAACTGTACCTAATAGCTCACGCCTGTTCCGTGTTTATGGAGAACACTGATCAGGTGCCTGGATTTCGCTGTGTAAAATCATTTCAGCTGCCCTGCAGGATAAGCTGTTGAGCAAAGTCTTCAACTCTATTCAGGTTGTAGAACTGCAAAGAGTCTACAAAGTGCACACACTCAGTTTTACACACCCATGGGATACTTACCTTGTAATTGGGAACACTAGTTTTCCAGGGTCCCAATAATGAGAGAGCCATACACATGTAGAGTTGTACAGCTGTAGACTTCATGCAGCATTCAGTTGAATAGGGGGTGGGGCCTGCCGCTAAGAACCGTCTCCCCCTCAGTGAATGTTCACACACTACAGTTAATGTCTTGTTGGTAGACCGTTACGTCTGTGAATTTAGATCCGCAGCTATTTTCTGAATAATTGGCGTATACTGCTGGATGCTATGTAATAGAATCTTCAAAGTTCTTTGCCTTCCTACTTCCGTCCCCTCTTCCCTTCCTCCCTCATACCATCAAATGCATTTGTTTATGTCTTCTCTTTATATCAGTGCAGAAGAAAGTGGTGTCCAGGTTTTGAAGAGTGACCCAATCTAGATAAACATTATCACCTTTAGGCTTGTCTTTCCCATGTATTCTCCCGAATCAACATGATCTGCTGTATAATTTTCTGTACTATGTCTAATTCACTTCTTGAAGTGTGAGAAGAGAGGTTTAGGCTGAGTCCACAGGAAACATGGTCAGGGACAAATGAATGTCTGGGGTAGTAGATAAAGGAGTATCTGTGTGTAGTATTTATTTATTTTATTCCTTTTATATATTTATGCCCCACCTTTCTCTCAAGTTGGGATTCAAGACAGTTTACCACATTAAAAAACATCAGTTATAAAATTGTTGTTGGCATCTGTCTGTCTCAAGGGACATTGGAGCATGCCTCCAGGAGTGAAGTCAAACTGCTGCATTAATGCTGTTGAAGTGACCTCTCTTGGACCAGCCTGGGCTGCCCAGATGACAAGACCCCACAAGGCACCATTCAACCACATTAGGGACTCTACTCTGGATTTGTGTAGGGTTTACTTCTTAGCCTTCTCTTCTGCTGAAGATATCCTGCAAGGCAGCAGAGGTTTAGGATCAGCTTTTTCCTTCTCCTAGATGGGCTTCCTTTCCAGGTTGATGAGCCCCATTTGCCCCTCACTTCCTCTATAGCATGTGAAGATACTACCTTCTTGACCATTGGACCCACTATTGGTCTTCTTCTTGACCATTGGACTCACTATTGGTCATTGCATGCAGGGGAAGTCCCTAACTCACTGAGGGCTTCCCACCTGTTTTAGCTGGCCAGTCTAAGCTTTTCCCCAGGATGTGGCTGCTGTGGCATGCTGACAGCTTCTAGGAGCCACAGGTGAAAGCTGAGGGCAGGGTGAGGACCAAAGGTGGGAAAACTACCCCAGAAGCAGCATAACATGTCCCCCACCAGAGCTACTATCCCTCCCCTAACACCCCATGCACCCCACTGCGTGTTATTCATCCCAGAATAATAAAATACAGTCTAATTAAAAACAATAACCAAACTGCATCAAAACGCATATATTCATTCCTCTAAAACAGCAACAGGGTCAGAAACATCTGTTCCTAGTTTGACTTCCATGGTTAGAAAACCGATGTGATTGAGACCAAAGGATGGTATATGAACTCTGACTCTTGTGTATGAAGAAGCAACTCGGGGCAAGGGCAATACCGAGCTGAAAAATTGCATGGGGGGAAAGGTTGGGGCAGTGTTTCTCTCTCCCCACCACCACTACCACATACCCCATACACAGCCTGTCCAAGCTTATAGTTTAATCAAAAAATGCAGAAGAGGAAAACATGAAAAACTGCATCACATACAGCTAGAGCCAAAGTGTCTAGGATTAGCCAACTGAGTGGTTGTCACCTGTCAAAGGCACATTGGGGATAGAGGAAGAAAACTTTGCTATAGAAAAAGGGGGGGGCCAAAAAGGGAGTTGGAGGATGGATGTGTGTGTATGTGTTAACTGCTGGTAGGAGGCCTCAGGAGGGACAAGCTCAGACCCTCCATGTCCCTATATATGCACACACATCCAACCTGCATTTACAGAATCTATCCTGGTTTCTGATTTGATCCCAGAATGTCCCGTTTTTCTGTAGGATGTCCCTATTTTCACCAGAGAAATGTTGGAAGGTATGCATAAGGAACCCTGTTCCAAATAAGGCACCTAAGAACTAAATTGTGTGTGTTGTATAAACCAAAAACTCATATATAATTACATAAACTTATACAGATAACTGATTTATCTGTAACTTAAATGTAAGTGATATTAAGTTAGAAATGCTGAGTCTGAAATTTCCACTCTGGGGATAAAACCAAAGTACCAGCTCAAGAAGCAGAAAAGAATGGCAGTGTGCTTATGGTCCTCTTTAAGACCACTAGTGACCCCTTCCCATTGAACATGCTGAGTGCTACTGAAAGCCTACCCATGTTGCTTAGGTGCACTAATGGAAGTTTATAATCTGATCCCATTATATCCCCTGAGGCTGCCAAGGTGCTCATTACCATGGTGGCTTTTCTGTAACAAGGAAATGGAGTGGCAATGTGAATGGATCACTGTGCATTGTCTAATTGCTTCCTGCTTTCTACCACCATGGTATGGAAAGAAGGCAGGGGCTGTGATCCCCATGTAGCTGGGTCCTTTTTCAGAGTTTTACATAGCTAATGGCAGTAAGCCTGCTTCACACATAGCATAATAATTGGTTTTTCCTCCTTAGCATGGTCTGACCTGAATATTTTTAGAGTTCTTGCACAGAACACAGTGGCTCTGGCTTCCATTTCCTGGCTTATTAAGATATTAGCTGAACAGTTTCTATGGTGGAAGTGCGGGAGAATGTGTAATGGAGCAACCATCACATCAAGTGCCCTGCTAGCTCACTGCAGCCAGGGTGGAAGGTGAGAGCAGCAGCATATATCTTTCTCTTACCCCCCCCCCCCCGCCCCATTGACTTAAATATGTCAACTTCCGGACTGGCATAGCTCTGTGCCCAGTTTGGATATGGGCAGAAACCCTGAGCCAAATAACCATGCAGTTTCTGCTACGGCTTTACTAGGTAGTTCAGGAAGGGTTTTTTTGGTTCTATACTCAGGAAAGGAGTCATGTGGTCAGCAGGGTGGAATAACATGGATATTCTCTTTGGCCACTGTTACAGCTGTTGTAAACCTTACAGGTGGTCTGTATGGCATGGGGGACATTCCTGTGCTTGTGGTTGTTGGAAATTCTGCCTGGTTGCTCTTAGGAAGACAAGAAAAGCAAGGAGAATGTGCTGAGTAAAGGGTAGCGTAGCATCTGGAACTGACAGTACTTATGACCAGCTGCTTATTGACAGAGAATGTTTTTCCATTATGCATGCTCCAGTAGAAGCTCCACACTCTCCCCGTAATAGTCTCCACTGGGAGAGATAACAAGGCCCTTAGAACTATACACTCATTGCATATAAGGAGTTCTGTTTGACTGGTGTCTCCAGCTTCTGTTTGCTCTGCTTCATAACATTCCCTTATCTTCTTCATCAGGCCATGAAGAAGTAAGTTACAAGTGTACTAATGCATGTGGAGTTGCTTTCATTTCCTAAAGCTTCACCTAACTATGACGAAGAAGGCAGAGGTCATAGAGTACAGTGGTACCTCGTATTACAGACACTTCAGGTTACAGACTCTGCTAACCCAGAAATAGTACCTCGGGTTAAGAACTTTGCTTTAGGATGAGAACAGAAATTGTGCAACAGCGGCAGCGGGAGGCCCCATTAGCTAAAGTGGTGCTTGTTGTAAATAAAAATATGCCCTTTTCCCTTATGGGGTATCCAAGAGCCCATATAGAGTCCTTACATAGGTTCCCTATTGGTAGGAGAAAATAACAGAGGCCAACCAGAGAATATTGAGAAGCAAAGCAGCTAGTAAGCTTGATCTTTATTGATCTGTTGCAACAGGGTGCTCCCCTCACACGCAGGAGAGGAAGAGGACCCACAAAAATGCTGTGCAAGGGCTTATAAAGACTTTTGAAATTACCATCCTGTAGATCAAGACCACCCCCAGAAACATTATGCATACATCAGAGAAGGGATGTAACCTAAGACCACCCCTCAGATACATCCCACCTACATCACAGAAATTTAAATATTGTTTTTCTCTTGTCCTTGTTTATCTCCTGTCTGGCAGGTTACTTGATTGGATTTCCTGGGGAGCCTGGCCATTCTTTTGTAGTGGTAAAATACTTATTTCCTGGGCCAGGTCACAGGCTCACATATCTTAAATGTGTCCTTAAGACAGGATTTGTGAGGAAAGAGACAATGGGGAGACTTTTCCAGTTTGACCTTGCAGAGAAAACATTTGGTCAGTTTAGGAATCAAAATGGTTACAGGCTGGCCTTCCTGTGTTGATCTATGTATGTGCGGTTATGAACATTACCATATATCTAAGATCATAAAATTCCTATCACATGCTTCAGGTTAAGAACAGTTTCAGGTTAAGAACGGACCTCCGGAACCCGAGGTACCACTGTAGTGAGGTGGGAGAATGGATATCACTTAAGAAGGCAGATGGGGGGGAGCCATATTTTACTTGCTAGAGCATACAAGAGTGTAACCTCTGCAGTGGTTAGAAGAGCTGGTGCCTTTCTTACCAGAGCCAGTCTTCACCTTTGCACAAGCGAGAACACAGGTGGGGCTGTGGCAGCTGTTCCTTGCATCCACCACTGAGGTTGCCTACTTTCATGGACACCTGAGCATAGAGGAAGAAGCAGCCTTAAGTAAGAAGCAGAGAGTCAGACCCTTGGATCATCTAGCTCTGTATTGTCTACACTGACTGGCAGCAGCTCTCTAGGGTTTCAGAATGGGGTTTCTCCCAGCCCTAACCTGGAGACATCAGAGATTGAACCTGGGACCTTCTGCATGTAAATCAGATTTCCTACCATTGAGATACAGCTGTTCATCGACAGCAGCTGCCCTGTCCAACCTGCCCTCTGAGTCTGAGGGTGAGGGGAAGAGGTGGCATGCATAGCATAGGGCCACCACAACAGCAGCACCGACCCATGAGAGCCCAAATGTCTGGGGCTCCTGTAATTGGTGAGTAGTCACTTCCAGTGGCGCTGGTCTTCTTGTAGTTGCCACACAGTGCTGGTCTCTGATGCTGGCACTGCTCACATGTAACGGTGAAGAACAGTCCCACCCTAGCAGAGCAATGGCCTGTATCTAATTGGCTTTTCTCTTTTCTAATTCCCATGACAGTGAGAACCAGACTGCAATGCTAGAAGCTGGCAGTTTTCCCGTATGAAGAAGTACATTTGTTATTTCTTATCTTGGCTATAAACAAAAGATAAGCGTCTCCCTTGCCAGATTCTCACTTAAGACTGCCATTTCTATTGCTATCACACCTGTAGTTTTAACAGCCATCTAATCTCTTGAGGATGTGACCATCTGAAGTCTAGCTACTAAATCTCTCTCCCCAGCAACCCATGCTTTATATATTGCTTGGCAAGAATATGCCTTATGAGCATTTGAAGTTGTTTTTTAAAAAGTTGAATATTCTTTTTAACTCACAGGGTTATAAGGAAGGAAATATGAGCTAGTGTTTTAGGTATGATGATAATGGTGCAATAAACATTATTATGGTTTATTAATGAGTTTGTTGTTTGGGCCTGCCTTTCTCTGAACACTGGAATTGACTGGTATGTTGGAGTCAGCTGGGCAATCACAGATAAATGAATGAAGGCATCCTCCCTTCTATTTAACCACTGTATTTTTCGCTCCATAAGACGCACCAGACCACAAGACGCACCTAGTTTTTGGAGGAGGAAAACAAGAAAAAAAATTATTCTGAATCTCAGAAGCCAGAACAGCAAGAGGGATCGCTGCGCAGTGAAAGCAGCAATCCCTCTTGCTGTTCTGGCTTCTGTGATAGCTGCGCAGCCTGCATTCGCTCCATAAGATGCACACAAATTTCCCCTTACTTTTAAGGAGGGAAAAAGTGAGTCTTATAGAGCAAAAAATACAGTATTTTTAATTGTCCCTGCTGCAGTGGCATGCTTGATATTTCTTGCTTTAGCTACTCTACCAGTTTTCCCTCTCTATGAAAAAAACCAACCATTGTTTGTCTTCTGCGCACAGAAGCAAGTTAGCAGAGCTGATATCAGGAGCAAGCATCCTTGCACAGTTGCTGAAGATGGCTGAGTTGGCCAGAGATGGTAGCAAAAAATCAGCTGTGATTGCCTATCCTCTCTTACTACCCAAGGAGAAGGAGCAGTTGGTGGTGGAGTATTCTACTCATTATTATTTTTTTGCTCATCCACCAACTCTCTGGGCTAGTGAGCTGACGGGGGTGCGTGGGTGAAGCACGCCTGCCACCGCAAGTGTGAGGGGAGAGAGACTCTGTGGTTGCCATCAGGAGATGGTTGCTGCCACCTGTTAGGAGTTGTTTAATGGCTATTTTGACTTGACCTATTAGTAAGCTCTGTGAGTTTTTTATATATGTCAAACTGATGGTTGTTGATTATTATGTCTCATTATGTATAGTTATTGTATTACTGTATTTAGATTTTGGTTTTTGTCTGTGAATTGCTTCGAGCACAGATTTACTTGTGGAAAACGTGGCATATAAATAAACTGATAATGACACAAGTGGCAATGCTGAAGGACATCTTGAGGGCACAGAGGGCATCTTGTCAACCTCCCCCCACCCCCAAAAAAACCAACACCCTGGAGCCTACTGAGCCCTCAGAATTAGGTATCCTCGAATGGTATTCAACTAAGTTTTACTCAGAGCAGTAGATCCATTGTAATGAATAAAAATGGCCAGGTTAAATCTATTAATTTCAGTAGATCTTCTCTGAGTAAAACTGAGTTGAATGCTTTGTTATTCCTCGTGTGTGGGTACAACCTTATTGAGGTATCTCTACTCCTAAATTATGTACAGAATTATGGCAAGAAGGCTAAAATATTGCCCTTTCCCCTGACATGCTAGAGCCCTTCTCCTTAATGCAGTTGTTTTGCGGCACTGCCCACCTCAGGATTCATCCGCTTCATTTTGCTGCATGTGTGAAACATACCCAGGTGGAAGCATCTGAGCTGCATAAGGGGAAGTGGGGAAGCTTCATGCAATCACAGATCTGCTGAGATCAGGCTTCCTGCAGATCAAGGATATATTGAAAAGCCCCTGGATGCTGGCCTGAGATCCTGAGCCTCTTCAACACAGGATATTGTCAGCAACTGCCCCACTGAGGCTGTCTTTTCCCTCGCCTATGCCCTTCTAGATGGTTTGAGTCAGACTTTGATGTTGACAGCCATTCGTTTGCCTGGCATTCTCCTGAGAAGTCTTCGGTTGGGTATTTCAGGTTTTATGGCTGGAGCCATTCCAGCTCTCCTAGCCTTGTGTTTTAAAGCATGGACAGTTCAGCAAAATTATCTCCCCCCCGGGGCAGCCATCTCGTACCTGCCATACAAAGCTACGCAGCATGACAGAAACAGAGCCAAGCTGGGAGAGGAGCTGGGATTGTGACAGGATCATAAAATGAAAGGAAGCAGAAAGTGAAGGAAGCCACCACTAGGTCATTCTGGTTCTTTACAGCTGTTCCAGATGAGTTGCTTATTGTACAGCTTTGTTAACACTCCGCTCTGTCTCTGTGTGTTTCAAGTCCAAGGCAATGGCGCTTCTGTGCATTTTCTCAAGAAATTATATCACTGTTGGAAAGCTCTTTTTATTACCACCCCATATATTATAGTTTCCCCCTTTTTAGCCTCTATAGTAATTTGTCTGTATGGCATGTATGCCCCTCAAGTATCTTCCCTATATTTGGTTAGCATTTTAATCATTATGTTCTCTGAAATTATTTCCTACTTTCTCATCTTGATGTGCTCTTTTCTAAACATTCCCCCCTACATTTGTAATAGGGCAGTTTAACAGGTTTTCCCCACCCAAAATAAAATTCTTAAGGAGATACATTTGAGTTTAAAGATTGGCCTCGAGATGCAGTGCTTCAGAAAAAGGATTACACCCCTTCAGCTGAAATAACATTAAAAACATGGAAAGTGGGGCAAAGCTATGAAACTCTGCCCCACTTCCATTTCAAAAGCCTCAAGAACTGTTTGCAACCAAAAAAAAGAATAAAAAAATCTAGGTCAGCACCAGGCCACCCCCTCTGGCACAGCACTGTGTGTGGTAACAGAATCAGGGCTGTTGCAATAGTCTTAGAATTTGACAGACCAAATGAATATAATGTAAAAGTTACCTGTTTGGGGGCTGTGTCCCAGTGGCGCTGAAAGAGTTATTGGCTGTCCCCTTGCACTGGTGATGGCATTTTGACACCAGGTTTTTTTTTAACCATTATCTCAGCACATTGACTCGTGTGCTACTTGGAGAATGAATCACATTTTCAAAAGAATTTGCTAAACACAAAGGAGGATGGTTCTAATGGAGCTCAGTAAAATTTTGGGTGTATCATATTTAAAAATTAGATACATTTCCAGCTGTATAAGCAGTGACATTTTCCAAGTTGTTGGGCATCTCCCAGAGTTGTTCGCGACTGGACTTAACAGTCAGGGGTCCCTTTACCTTTACCTTTAAACTCTTGTACATCTCACCTCAAAACACTTAACACTAACTAGACTTTCCAGCAATGGTTGCTGTGTACATTGACTCAAACTGCAATCGCTTTTGTTTTGTTTTTTGCAGCTACCATTCACCAAAAACCGACTTCTATCTAGCTTTGCACCTAACTGCAGTTATCTGTTTATTCCCAAGTATATGCATTTCAAATTATTTCCCTCAGATACAGCAGTAGAAACCAACAGAATTTTGCCCTAAATAGGTACTTCTCTCTTTCACTCTTCAACTCACACATCAGAGGGATGCATAAGGTAATTAAAGCATAGGCTGTCCCTAAGTGGACGTTTTGTAACCCTTAATATAAAAGAGGTTAAATGTATCTGAAATCACTTTGCCTAATAAATTCTGGATTTTTACGCATATAAATGTCTAATCCTTTTCAGAATGTTGGTAAGCTCTTGCTCCCAGTAATATATTGTGGCAATGTTCTTAGCCTGCATTTTCCCAAGTGGAAGCTCAGCAAGGTATTACACACACACACACACACACACACAGACAGACACATTTTTAAACTAGGCCCCTTTTGTATGAATTTTGTTGTCAGTGTACCCAACTCTTCTTGAGCTACATTCATCTGGGAACTTTATTGCTGTGCTATTTAATTCCTCTTCTGAATCATTAATGAAGCTGTTAAGGAAGATCAGTCTTAATGCTGATCCCTGTGGTTTCCCCCATAGACACATACTCTCAGCTCTATAGAAGGCTGCCATTTATCATTACTTGGGTGTTTACAGCTTCCTAACTTTGTCTCAGTCCACTTGACAGAGTTCCTATTCAAACCTGCTCAAATGAACTCTTCTAATTAAGGTTTTGTGAAACATCTTAACATGATGTCTGATTAGTGACAGAAAGGAAAGAAGTGGAGGTGAATATGACAAGAGAAGACAACACGTTTTTATCTTGGGCACTAACCTGCTGGTGACCTCTTGCATGCCATGGTGACAGGGCTCAGCAACAAGCCCCGCCATTGCACTGTGAACCCCCCCCTCCTCCTGCTTTGGCTAACTTTGTCGCCACAGGAGCGTTGAATAAGTTGGGAACTCAAACGTGAATTGATCGGTGTAAGTTTCTCACGGAGATGCTTTCGCAAAGGTCAACAGTTCAGTGGTTTTCAGTTTCCTTTTGACCAAGACCAATGATTTCAAGAGATATATCATTGGGGGAGTTTGGGGGTGGGGGTAAGGGCAGATGCTGTTCCAAATATTGGAGCTTCAGGTCAATTGTCTGCGTAGGCTCAATCATGTAGGGCTTGGACTGGTTACTAAATTGTAGCAGATAATCTCCTGGGTTGGAGCATTCAGGCTTTTCCAGAAATGAAATTTCCC